GGGAGGGGGGGGAGAAACAGAAGAAATGTAATCGAATGCTGACCTGACCAAACAGACATGGCATACCAAGTCCAGGAGACACACGCCGACGCGGACGAGAAACCGTTCCACAAGCAGTACAAGCTCTTCCACGCCTCCTTCGCCCAATTCTGCTACACGGGCTCTCAGATTGCCCTCGCCTCCTTCTTCATCAACTACGCGACTGCCACGCGCGCCGATACCGACGACGCTGCGGGCGCCCAATTCCTCGCTGGTGCGCAGGCTGCCTTCTCTGTTGGCAGGTTCATCGGCGCCTTGATCATGCGCTTCGTGCGACCCCGCATAGTCTTCCTGGTCTTTCTGACATTGTGCATCGCCTTCATGATACCAGCCATCGTCGTGCCCGAGCTGATTGAAAAGTCCAACGTCGGCGTCGTCATGCTCTACATGGTGCTGTTCTTCGAGTCCATCTGCTTCCCCACCATCATCGCCCTGGGTCTACGCGGTCTTGGACGCCACACGAAGCGTGGCAGCGGTTACATTGTCGGTGGCGTCTCCGGTGGCGCCGCCGTCCCCGCCATCACCGGCGTGGCCAGCGACAGGCACGGAAACGGCATGGGCCTCATTGTGCCCCTCATCTTCTTCGTCGCCGCCTGGACGTACCCCCTTGCCGTCAACTTTGTTCCGTCCTATACCAAGGTGGTGGACTCGTTCAACGCGGCCGAGGTCGGCCTCAAGAACCGCAACGTCGACCCCGAAGCCAAGCTGGCTGAAGCGGCGGCTCCGAAGCAGTCGATGGAGGAGAGGGCCGAGTTTACTGAGAACAAGGCCGACGAGTGACGTACTTTTTTTTCCTCGATGTCATTTTCCCTTGCCTAACACCATTTTATATCCACATTTTCCTTTTTTATTATTGTTCGAGTTAAACCAGTGCAAGTTGATGAGGAATGTATTACGCTTAATGCAGATGTTTATATCAATAGACCATCATTCAATAATGCATCTCGAGTTTCCCATGTTCCTACGTCTCCGTGAGATGAAAACATAGGTCAGAATGGTCATGATTCTCTTACGACTTACACTGATAGTAGACTTGTAATAGATGCATTGCACGTTGGGCAGAAGACGAAAGAAGAAGAAAAATAAAACTATCCCCAAAATGTCATCGTTTTATACCTATTTTAATTATTTTAACCACGAGGGGAAAAAAAAAAAGGATGGCCAGTTCGTCAGGAAACCTAAGACCTGTAATGCAGTTGTGACATGAGACGCAGTTTTTGGAGAGCAAGAGTCATTCATCAGATAGGGCATATACATATATAAAAAGACAAAAGAAGAGAAAAAGCCGGGAGGGAGAAGAAAGAAAGATGAAGAATGAGAAGATGAAAAAAAGCAGAAAGACTACATTCCGTTTCTTCTTCTTCCACCCCTCGTACTCCTCTCAACATGACCCCTGAGGACCTTTCTCGTCTCGACCAGGCTCCTCTTCTGCTTGCTCTTGGCCTTGCCCATGGTCATGAAGATGTTCTTCTTTCGCTGCTTCTCCCTGTTGCTGGTGCTCTTGCCCGAGGCCTCCTTCTGGGACTTCTTGATGGCCTGTGTGCTCTTGTGCTCTTCACGAAGGGGCTTCCCCTCGCGGGCGAGCTCGACCTTCTCTTCTTTTGTCAACTTGCGCAGACGCGCGGGGGCCTCGATGTTGTCGGCCGTCAGGCCGTCGTCGTTGTGGCGGCGGGCGCCCGTCGAGTCCAGGCCGGGCCGGTTGTCCATGCGGCGCTGGCTCTTACGGTTCTTGCCGCCCAGCGCCCGTTCGACGGCTGCCGAAGTGCGCAGCTCCTGCAGCTTGGCTAGGTCGGCCGGCGTCAGGATGGTTGTCGTCGCCAGCTTGGAGATGCGTTCCATCTCGGCTGCGGCGTCCCCGTCTTCGTCTTCACTGTCCGGGTCCGAGTCGGAGTCGGAGCCAGAGTCGGGGTCGGCGTTGGCCGCCTTCTTCCTACCCGACTTACGCTGCTTCTTGCTGACGGGGCCCACGTCGTCATCCTCGGACTCGCTGCTGACGTCTATCCAGCCGCCAGAATCGCTGCTATCGTCAGAGGCCACCTCCCACTCGTCGGATTTGAAGCCGTCGTCATCGTCGTCGTCGTCGTCGTCATCCTCGCCGCTGCCGGCCTTCTCGGGAAGACCCTTCTCCAGACGCTTGCGCTTCTTCTCGTCGGCCTTCCACTTGGCCAGGAGGTCCAGGCCCTCGATGCCGCCGACGGCCTCCTCGCCGTACTTGCGGCCGCCGAGGGTGCCGGACATGAGACCGATGGTGGCGTCCTTTCCGCGGTCCCTCTTGCGCAGGAGCTCCGGGTCGGCCTCGCGGTACAGCGACAGGAGGCCCTTGGCGGCCATCATGACACCTTTGTCCTTGCTCTTGCGGTACTGGACCAGGTCCTGTAGAAGGGTGTCGGTCATGGCGAGCGGCTGGCGGGCGCAGATCTCGCGTATCGAGTTGAGGCCCGCGGCGGCGACCTCGGCGGCCGAGGCCTCGGACACGAACTCGTTGGCAATCTTCTGGATCAGGGGTTCCAGCACGTCCGGGGGCACGAGCTGGTGGGTGCCCTGGGCCAGAGAGGCCAGGAAGGAGGTGACGGACTGCTGGCGCGGCGTCAGGTACTTGATGAACCACGAGTACAGGGCTATGACGGTCAGCTGGTGTAGGCCGACGAGGCGGGTGACGAGCTGGAGGACGAGGAGGCGCGAGTCGAGGGAGAAGCGGTTCTTGGAGCCCTGGAGGTGCTTGGCGAAGAGCTGCTCGGCGAACTGCTGGGGGTCGTGGAGCAGGTGGAGGGCGGAGAAGTTGAGGGGGTGGGGCCTCTCGCGCTTGCGCTCGGCACGATGGACCTTGCCGACGGCCTTCTCGTACGACTTCTTGTTCTTCTTGGTCTTCTTGTTGATGCCCAGCTGATGGCGGATCTTGGAGAGGTCGACGTCTTCGTCATCGCTGCTGTCGTCGTCGAGCTCCTCGCGCTCCTTGTCGCCGCCGAGGAAGAAGCGCACGCCGCCGACCACCACCTTCTCGTTGTCGGCCAGGCACGCCTCCTTCATGACGTCGACGGGCTTGGCGTCGGTCCAGATCTGCCGATTCCACAGCTCTCGCGTCAGCTTGATGGCCCAGATGGCCCGCGGCGACGCCCGGTCGGCTGTCACCAAGTTGTACAGCACCGTCTGCACCGTCCGGTTGAGCGGGTGGTTGATCGACCGAGCGTTCGAGTTCCGCACGTCGGCCAGGATCTTGCCGAACAGCTGCGTCCGGAACGTCTTGCTCGGCGACGCCACCAGGATCGGGAACAGGCACGTCAGCACGCTGGCGCTGTCCACCACATCCTTGCGCCGCAGGAGCAGCAGGCTGCCCACAATCTTGCTCCGGAGGTCCGTCCCCAGCACCTCGTGGTGCTCGGTCAGTATGAGCTTGAGGTCCTCGGGAAAGGTCTTGGTCTCCTCCGGGTAGCAGTCGGCCACGTGAGCCATCAGGTCCACCAGGTCGTGGAAGGACTGCGTCGCTTCGGCCGACGCCGTCCCCGGAGCGTGAAGGAAAATTTCACGCTGCGACTCGTAGTGGTCCCATTGCCGTCGGAAGTCGTCAATGTATGATTTGGGGTCTCGTCGAATCTTGTACTGAAGACTAGCACTGTAGACAGAAAAGAAGGAAAGATGAAGTCAGCACAATACACAATGGGATTGGAGAGAGAGGACAAGTCGGAAAAAAAAGAAAAGAAAAAAGAAAACAGAGAGATATACGTACAAATCCGCGTCAATCTTCTCAAGAGCAGCAACCTTGCGTTTCACCATCTTGTCTGAAGTATCCCCAAAGCAAGATGAGAATTTGAGGATATTGTTCTTCGCGGTGGAGATGTAGAACTGGCGATGCTGGCGGGGGGAAAGCAGAAGAGAATGACTTTTTTTTTTCTCTTCACATATCAGTGGGGCTGATAAGATAAGCAACATGGCTGGTTTGTGTACGTGTGCACATCGTGACGTGACGGTGGACACATGGAAATGAACTATTGCGATTGGAGAAGGAATGTAAGAAATCTGATATCTACTGCTCGCATAGAGAGAGGTATAATAGTGAGTTTTCGGCTCCATGTCATGGGATAATGCATTGACAAATGCTGTACAGTACTAGCTGGTACAAGGCGATCAGTCGCGACGCTGTTACGGAGTAGAACGTAGTATATCATATGAGTGACGACTATTCCCAGAACGGTGTGAAAATTCAACCTACAGCGTCAAGCAGCAAGCCAGTATTGACGAGTATGTCCCTCCGTCGGTTGCAATAATTATAAGAACCGTATGTACCTGAGTGGGTGAGTATATAATAAAACATCATCATGCTTCGATACAGTAGCATTCATCAGTAGCCAAGCGAGTCCATACGTAAAAAAACCTTCTATTATTTTTTTTCCACAATTTCGCAGGGTAATAAAAAAAAAAAGAAAATATTCGACTATTATACAACCCATCTTGGTGACTCTGGGATGCAAACCAAGTCTATCTCCTTCTTCCCTCTATCATTGTATAAAGCCTTTCTTCTACCTTCCTAGGACCCAGAAAAAAGACGAAAAATATAGAACATCCGACTCGAGAAAATAAACACAAGACATCGTTTTTTGTTGCTGTTCAGGCTCCCCCGAAGTATGTTCGGGAACCTATGCCACCAGACTTGATTGCCATCTTCTCCCCTCTCGTTTCCTCTCAATGGATCTTCTAGGCTGTCGAAAAAAGAAAGAGCCTGTTATACGATGGGAAGAGAAGAAAGGAGAGAGCATGGCATCGGTGGCAAAAAAGTCCAGCGCTTGGGCAGTTTTGCACACCCCCACCACTATCCCGGAGCTTCTAGACCCTAAACTTCCTTCCAACAACAACCCTTGCGACAACGCACCGATGGAGACTGACATGGAGAAGCTGGCCATTACACAAGCTTAGTCGTGCCAGTGCGATGGGAACGAGACGCTTATTTGCTGATCTCGACACCACTGGTGGCACCGAGGGCCTTCTTGAGGTCACCTGCAATCGAGACGAATCAGTACATGGAGGACGGAAGATGGCTGAGCCATGTATGGGAGGGAGAGGGGGTTGGGGGAGGGGGGGCGCGTACCGTAGATACCGAACTGACCAGCGGTCAGGGTGCCAATCATGATCAGACGCGTGGAGAGACCGGTGAAGGAGCCACGGACACCGAGCTCCTTGCCAATCTTGACGAGACGGGTCATGGTACCCTCACCAGGGGCGGCCTTGGTCTTGTTGATCTTGGAGAGCATGGTGTCGGCGGGCTGGGAGACGGCGGCGGCAGCGAAACCGGCAATCAGACCGGCGCCGAGGTTGGCAGCAGTCTGGGTGCTGGGGGACATGTTCTCCTTGGGGTAGGTCTTGAAGAGGGCCTCGGAGACCTTCTCGAAGACGACGAACTTGGCCATGGTGTAGGGGATCCTAGGTTCATTTGTGTGAGCAAATACGCCTGTTGCGTGCGGCTCTGATCCCGGGTTGAGATACACTCGCCACCCATGACAGATGCGATCTCACAAAGGGGTGACAACCCAGAGAGGGGAGGAGAACTCACTGCTTGAAGAGGATGGGACCGAAACCGGCGTAGAAGGCTCCGAAGCCCTCGTTCTTGAGCATCTTGCTGAAGCCACCGATGAGACCGTTGGCGTAGGTGGGCTCAGAGACGAGACGGATACGGGTGGCCTCGAGGGGGCACAGGGCAATGTCGGCGAAGAACTCGGCCGTGGCGGACGAGGCCAGGTAGACGGCAGTGCGGTTGTTGGAGGCCGTCTCGTAGCCGAGGGCGTTGATCCACTGCTGCTTGAAGAACTCGTATCCACCGAACTTGAGGGCGCCCTGAAGGAAGTAGCCGGCGAAGGTGGGACCGGCACCGGTCAGGAGAGCACCAGCACCCTCATTCTGGATGACCTGGCGGAAGCCACCGATCAGGCCGCGGTTGTAGGTCTTGGGGTCAAGCTGGATACGGGTCTTGACGCTGTTTCACTTGTTAGCTATCTGATGTCCATCTGTCCCTCCCTCTCTCTCTCTCTCGGCCCCTTTGAGTCGCGTTGACGGCCCAGTATGCTCAATTCATCTCAGTCGAGGTAGGACGAGGTGCAATCCTTTGACGAGACGGCGGGAGCGCAGCCTGGTACCAGACCACACCCTTGCTGGCTATGGGGCGAGGCGGGTAATTGATTGAGGGATAACGTACACATCGACGGGGGTGAGACCACCGTGGGTGATAGAGCAGCAGATAGCACCGGCAAGGGCGAAGCGCGAATACAGCGCAAAGCCGGTGAGGGGAGGAGCGGTCTTGGAGTCGGTGGTGGCCATTGTGAACGACGACAGCGAGAAGAAGGACTGAGCGGAGAGGGTAGGGAAGTTAGGTATTGACAGGAGGGTTATGTTTCCTTAAAGGGGGCGGAAGGGGAAGGAAAGAGGAGTGGAAGAAAATTCGAGGGAGATACGGGTAGTGAGGTCTTTTTTTTTTTTGCAGCCTTTCCATTCAGGCGACGACTGAGAGAGGGAGGGAAGGCCAGTTACTCCGGACTCCGTATGTCCATTAGCCGTGGCTGGGAGGAGGTGGGATGTAGCAGAAACACGAAAAGTGGAGCTATTTACAGTGGTTGACTCGCTGGCTGACCCGCAGACGGACAAATGCTTACTGGCTCCGGGCGGTAAAGGACCTGGGTGCTCGGGAAGTGTCGGGGCCGACACAGTCGTCAATACGTCTGTTAATTCGGACAGCTGGCTGAGCCCGTATTTTTCACTCGTGCTGTAATCCGTGCCTTGCTTTAGAGCGCCGCCTTTCAAAACACAGATCTTCTTGCTCGGTAATTCCTCTCACATAGTAGGCTACTGCTGTCGCTGTCCGAAAGATCTACGACTAGCAGAGCATTGGATGCTTTGCACCAATAACGACTGGCATCCCGCTGTGTCAATATCTATTCGTGGCTCTCCCACGATGCGCCCTGATGCATCGTCCACTGTCTCTTACCTATACTACTTACTACATTGATGATCACCCCCCTGTGCAGCAGTCACTGGCCCAATTCGCTGTAGCTACGTAGACTTGGTCGTTCCTTCGTATCCTAACGAACCTCTTAGCCTTTCTCGTCAAGTCTATCAGGGCTAGAGAAATCTATTCTGCCGCACAAAACGCTGCTAACCTCGCGCCAACAGATGGTCAATTATATGCGCAATAAGCTGCTGATTTCGCTCTTTCTGAGAGCATGGTAAAAGGTGCCAAAGATAATTTTTCGCTATTGCCGACATTGCCTAGCAGTCTCCCTCGTTAACTGGGCCGGAATAATGTTCTTCCTCTGACACTTCTCCCGACCCACCTCAAAACCTGCTGTCTTCCATTTTACCATCATTCAACCGGCCATTGTGCGTCTGTGACACGCACACCGGACTCTAGACGGGCTACGGGCTATCGCCTCATGTATAACGTCTGCTGGGTCCTCTGTGTATAGATGTGTCATTCATATTGTTCCTTCCTCGAGGGAAGTGCCTCAAGGTGTCTCAAGATGAGGTCATCAACAAAAGAGCGTGGACAGCCGTTGGCTGCTGACTAACAAGTTTTATGCCTAAGGCATAAGTGTGGGTACCGCACCATTCCCGCGACGATGCCGACTGTCACGTATTTCGGTGTGGAGGTATCCAATTGTTGTTGTTGTTGTGTATTGTGTGTGTGTTCTAGTGTGCGTCTCCTCAGGAAACCCCTGACCCACGGCTATTCTTGTATGGAGAGGGAGGAGTCCAGGTGCTGGTACATGAGTGTCCTTTATTCGTGACAACATCATATTCGTGATCCTATTGCTAACTTTCCTCTTTCTTCTTCTAACATCATCATCATCAAGACCACACTTCCAACAAATACTAGTAGCCAGTAGGGGTCAGCATGTGAAATGGGTGGTGAACATTTCGAGCTGCAGCAACTATCTCTACATTCGTGCATATACATATTGGCAGAACACATCTCAGTGTCGCTGGTCTCTGCTGACACTCCCATGAGTTGGCAATCCTGTGACGAGAAAATGCTGAAATTTATCGTGGTCCTGCAGCCAACGGTTGACTGAGTAGCTTCTCGATTCAGAGTGCCTAGAAACCATTGCGCCCGACGGATGAGAGTCGGAAGCGGGAGAGTCAGAGATGAGAGAAACGGGGTTGTAACAGTCCGAACTGTGGGAGCCCGAGCTATGAGAGCCCGGGAAATCGTGGCTAGAGGGGGTACCTTTCTGGTCGCTGCCACCTCTGTCGGTAAGAAAGAGAGTTGGAGGGAGGGGGGGGGGGGGGGGGGGGGGGGGGGGGGGGGGGCATGTGTCAGCAAGCAGCAGCTAATTATGAACACGTACAAGCCTATCGTAGGAGAGGAAGGCGAGGCTGTGGGTCGAGTCACCGATCAAGAAGATTACCCCCCGCATCTTACACGTACCTGGTGTCGCCTCCGGACATGATGAGAGTTTCTTGGAGAAAATACGAGGTTGTTATTCTCTTCTCCCTTCTCTTGCAGAAGATAAAGAACCCCCGAATTATTTTCCTTGTTGCAGTAGGTAAGAGCCAAGATGGAAGACGTCCAATGTAGACGTGGAAACAATGAAGTGATAGACAAAAGACATCAAAGTGATATCGCTGGCTTCCTCTTTCCTGTCTTTCTGTTTCTCTTCTACTTAGACTTTTTTATGAAGAAGATAGGAGAGAGGGACGGGAAGCAATCCGGTATTTCGTACATGGAAGACCCTTTATATATACAGAAAGGGTGATATCCGACGATCAAGTTCACGGACGGCGATTTGAGTGAACGTTTAGACCTAAAACAGAAGAAATGTGGAGATTGAGGCTTTCTGATACGATCTGTCTAAGAAAATATGCATAGCTGTCATGTAGAAAGCGGCTGTGTTCTATGTATGTGTGTCATGCCCTTACGCCGCCTCACCCGTGTGAACCATGACGCCCTAAGTAAGTTGTTGAGCCCTTCACCAGGTTTGGTCACCCTTCACTGAGGCTGGTCACGTGACAGACAAACACACATATAACAGAGCTTTCACCTCACATCTCAGATTAGCCAGAGAGCTAGATTTTCATCATCATCATCCTGTCTTTCCTGTGTTTTGGATCACATCTGGCGCTTCAACATAAGTCAACGCACCCGGAACATCCCCTCTTTTGGAACACCTCAACGGGCTATTGTGATCATAGGAAAACGTAAACAACACAACAACGATAATATATATACACAACATAAGGCATCAGAGGTTGGGTATATTACCAATAGCGTTGAATTCAGCCGTTGAAATAGGCCTAGTCCCTTGTGTGCCGTCGAGTCGATTCTCAAGTAGTTGTGTAGCCTCGTCTTCATCTATAACTTCAAAGAACCTTCTATTAGGGTTCATTTGCATTTGCACTCTTGTTCTTTTCCTTGGCTTTATCTCCCCAATTTTAAGCTGTAGATCCCGAATTTCAGCCTGATATTCTGTAAGATGTAGTCTTGAGTGAAAACACATCCCACGCTGAACGTATTTTATAGTCGAGTCCCGCTTACCTAAGCTATGTGATGATACGCTATGACAGCATCCTTCTTACACGTGTGCGTATACGGTTGCGTTAGCCCCTTTAACGGAAGGGCACGACAATTATATCAGTCTTACTTATTCTATCTATCTAGGATGACAATGAGGTTGTAGATATACCTTATCTAATGATGTTTGCTTAGAGACCTAAGGCTTAGATCCAGACTGGGACGATCATTATGCGGCATTTGCTAGTGCTTATACAAACAAAAAGGTCAACCTACTCTGATGAACGCGGTCTCGGCAGGTAACCAGTTTGATAGGGGTAGGGTAAGTTAGGAGGCTTGCTAAGTGGTAAGGGGGGGAGGGCAGAAACGGGATTGTGGTGAAGGGAAAAGTGCATATATGTGTATGCATGCGTGTGTATGCGTGTGTGTGTGTGTATGTGCATATGTGTGTATGTGTGTGTGTGTGTGTGTGTGTGTGTGTGTGTTGGAGCTTGGGAGTTGGGAGTGTGTATGTGAGGGGAGCGGTGTGCTTGATTTCATTCTATAATTTATAGATACAGGGCGGCACCTTTTGAAATAATATAATAATATGACTCCTCCAGGTCCCCTTTGTCTCACTTCCCGTAACGTTCCATATATAGGCTCTGATAGAGGCGCCGCTGAGTAATCATGTAGACACGGGTAGAAGCGTATATAGATTGGAGGAAATAGCCATCTCAGTACTGTTACATGTCCGTATTATCAACGTTGTGGAGATTGGGAAACCAGTTAACAGCTCGAGTGGCCCACGTCACATAAACCTCGAGCGGTAGCATCGTCCCTTTACTCAACGACAGGTGTAGGTGGGCCGTCCCGCCACGTGCCCTAGGCAGAAACATGTGTTTCTCTGAGCTATTGCAGTCTCTAGGTGCAGGAAAGACGTACATGTAGAGATATGCCAAAGCCGTCGAGGTAAAATGGCGCACGGAACAGGGCTAAAACAAACTGCTCGTCCTTGCAGGGAAACAGTGAAGAGTCTCGTAGACAAGAGTCCACTGCGACGAACAAACGTGGACCTGTTACGGGCGTTCAACAGTACAATATCAACAACAACTACAACTACAATCACAATGTGGACCCGTGCACAGTGTTTTGAAAACCCAGAATGAAGATAGAAGGTGAGACAAGACGGGATAACTTGACAGAAACAATAAACCTCACATATGCCGAGTCCAGCCCTAGAACGCTCAGGATTCAGGGACGAGACTCCTAGGGTCCGTCATACAGTGGATCAGGACCATGACTTCAGGAGACGGCATACGAGGAGAGATGCGCGCACGGGCAAACAGGGGTCCAAGGCTCCCCTTTACGAGAAAAGAGAGAGGCGCAGGATCCGTGCTCTTTTGATGTCATAGAATCGCTGCACCTCCCCCACCACCTTGTACATTGGCATTCAGACCTCACGGCTACCTGCCAGTCCCTCTACTCTAAGTGCCTGCATGCACTTCCTCGGTTGATGGGTCTTCTCCGAACGACAGGCCTTCCATTGCGCCTCCAGCAGGAAGCAGATACCAGTACCCGGAGGGCAATCGGAGAGAAACGAATCCCCTCTTCCACGAGCTGTGCCCGTTCCCGTGTTCCGTCTCTGATGCGACGTCTGGTCTGGTCTGGGTTGCCTCGTGGCAAAAGTTGAAGATGTGACGGTACAGCATGTGATGTACCCATACGGGTTACCTTGCATGTATCATGTACATGCATCTCCAAGGCATTGAGCGTTACAGGGCATGCCGTATAGTACCCTCGCATCTCGCTCGCACGAGCCGCGTCCCCGAATTCGCACATCAGGTGAATGAACCTGCAATTTGCCGAGTTCGGATGTGCCCGAATACATGTATGTGCGAAGCGAGGATTGCCGCTTGGGCGACGTGAGGGCGCGAGTAGCTGCAATCCCTTGTCGTTTCAAGCATCAATGGCTCGGCGAAATAGAACGGGGTCCTTTGTTCGCTCTTCCGGTGGAGTTGCAGGGTATTATCCATGGTCGACCGTTACGCGTCCCGACGCTGGTGATGATTCCGCATCATTATTTGAATGCGGGATATTATATCAACAATATATGGGTGCGGTGGGTGCACGTGCAGGACGCATGTACTCTTCGTGAAAGAGACACAGGCTCTCTTCTCTCAAAACAAGGGCCCTTTTTTTCCCCCCTCCCATTTTTTCTCACAAAAAATGGGACCTGTGCTATATTAGTCGAAGGTAAGGAATACACCTGAGTGCCGTGCAGGGATCAATCGGGAAACCCGTCAAGGATAAGAGGCGGCCGATTTGCGGCTTCGACCTGCACGGGCGAGGGACTATGCCTGACAGGTGTGGAATGGCCATGGGCTCCGAGATCGATTCCTACAAGGGGATGACCCGATTCGGTTCATGGATTGAGAACATGGACTGGACCATGTCTCCCAGCTGACATGTAATATGTACCGTATATACCCATGCACATATTTAGCGCATGAATGTGATGGTCTGGCTTGTCTGTGTGCCTATAATATCATCGTCACTACGTTGAAATATTTGCAACGCTCCGGGGGCAAAGCACGATGCCGTACGTGCGTACATAAAAGCGATGCCGGTTTCGGACTCTCTAGGAGAGGTCGGGGGGGGTGGGGACATGAGGTGAACATGTATTACAAGGCGGCTACTATGAGTCCCATTGAGCCGGTCCTTGTCCAGAACATTAGCTTATGGGCCAAACTACATGTACTCGTATACTATATAATCATAAACTGTATAGCCCGGCTCAATTCCTCTGTAGATCCCGACTAGCGACATAGCAGTTGAACTCCCTAATCTTGGCGACAACTATAGTGCGGCTCTTACGGACCCCTGTTAACTGGAGCCGGTACTTATCTCGCGGACCCTTTTCGGGCACAAATATGCATAGAAAATAAGAGTAATAAGAGCCTTGGCTAGCCTTGGCGACAATCTATAGTGGCGTTCTCGCAGACACTCCGATGAGCCGGTACCACTTTAGCGGGCCTCTCTCGAGGACTGCCTATATTCATCCTGAAGGGTCTGATAGTAGGACCGTCAGGAACAGGAACCCCTGTGCAGACTCGTACACGTCAATTTCTGGGTACCTTCAACACATACGTTTGGTGACATTACCTTGTGTTACCCATGTTCCTATGACGCTAATGCAGATTGGGCCTATACCGGCCCGCCATCTACACGACTGCGTATCTGTAGGCCATATCTACACGAGCGCCGTAAGCGGCGGACGGACGGACCGACGGACGGACAGACAGGCATACACTATCCAGACAGGCAGGCAGTCACGGAGACAGAGGAGATCCACCAAGCAAGGAAGGTGGTCGGCGTACGCCAAAGTGTATAAATATATGCCATCATGGCCACCCTCTGCAGACAAGTTGCTTCATGCTCTCTCCAGCCACAGGGACACAACCAACTCAAGCACCTGCCTCCTCATACTCTTGCTTCTTCCTCACTCCCAATACTCTTTCCGAAGCCCCTCGTCCTCAGACGTTCACGTCAGTTCCGGTAAACAGACGAGAGACAGCATTCCGACATCAAACATGGTGCGCCTCTCTGCTGCAGGAGCCGCTCTGTCGCTCATGTCGACGACGCTCGCGGTGCCGACGAGACGGGCCGACGTACTGGCCTGCCTCCAGGATGCCGGCGTGCCTGCCGACCTGCGCGGTACGGAGGAGTGGTCGTGGGACGGCACGGCGTACAACCTGCGTGTGCCTGTGCAGCCGGCGGCCATCGCGGTCCCGCAGACGATAGAGCACATCGTGGCCGCGGTCAAGTGCGGTGTCCAGAACGGGGTGCCCGTCAACGCCAAGGGCGGCGGCCACGGTTACACGTCTCTAGGCTTCGGCGGCGAGGACGGTCACCTGACGATCGAGATGGACCGCATGCACAACGTCACGCTCGACAAGGAGACCAACCAGGCCAGGGTGCAGCCGGGGACCCGGCTGGGCCACCTGGCCACCGAGCTCCTCAACCAGGGCAACCGCGCCATCTCGCACGGGACCTGCCCCGGCGTCGGCGCGGCCGGGCACTCGCTGCACGGCGGCTACGGCATGGTGGCGCACGGCCACGGCCTGGCGCTCGACTGGCTCATCGGGGCGACGGTGGTGCTGGCCAACGGCACGACGGTGCACTGCTCCGAGGACGAGAACTCGGACCTGTTCTGGGCCCTGCGCGGGGCGGCTCCCTCGTTCGGCATCGTGGCCGAGCTCGAGTACAAGACGTTCGAGGTGCCGGAGCAGATGACCGTCTTCACCGTCCCGATTCCCATGGACAAGTCCAACGCGTCGCAGTCGCTCCGGGACATCCAGGCCTACGGCAAGACGATGCCGCGCAACATGGCGCTGCAGACCTACATCGACCGCACCGGCTACCAGCTGATCGGCAGCTTCATGGGCAACGAGACGGAGATGCACGCCGGACTGGACCCCCTGGTCGAGAAGGTGGCCGGCTGGTACGAGGTTGCCGAGGCCAAGAACTGGACCGACTACATCATCTTCCACGGCAACATCGGCGACGACATCGACATCACCACGCCCGCCTACAGCGCCCACGACAACTTCTACGCCAGCAGCATGGTCGTCCCCGAGATCTCGGCTGAGCAGTTCCAGTCCTTTGCCGACTACGTCGCCGACGTCGGCCAGACCATCGACGAGTCTCACGACTGGTTCATCCAGATGGACGCCATCGGTGGCGACACCTCGGCCGTCTCCGACGTCGCCAACGACGCCACCGCCTACCCCCACCGCGACAAGCTCCTCCTCTTCCAGCTCTACGACGCCACCCTCAACATCAACCAGACCTACCCCGATGACGGCTACAGCTTCCTCAAGGGCTTCCGCACCAGCATCACCGACACCATGACCAACGGCACCTGGGGCATCTACGCCAACTACGCCGACGGCCAGCTCACCTCCGAGGAGGCCCAGACCCTCTACTGGGCCGACAACCTGCCACGTCTGCGCGAGCTCAAGGCCACATATGACCCTGACAACATCTTCCGTAGCACCCAGTCCGTCCAGCTGACGTCTGCTTAAGCCGTCTCTCTCCCTCCCTCTCTCTCTCTCTCCCTCGTTATCCCTCGGAAGCCTCTGAAGCCTACCTTTCTTCAGCTCACTGTCTCCATCGAATCTGAGCACTGAGCACTAATCTCGCCAACGGTTCAGAAGGGAGAGCATCATCTGCTGGCTTCTGGCACTTGAGTTCCTTTTTCATGAAATTCACGACGGTCTACGGTCTAGCTCCTTACCGCCCCACCCCCCCTCCCCTCCCTTTTTTTTTTTAAAAAAAAAAAAGAGCTCATTCTTTCTTACTATCTCTTCTTCTTTCCCTTATATATATTCAAAATTTGATGTCATTTCCTGGATTGTTAGTCAGATAGATATATAGAATACAGTCCCCTATTCCTTGCAGCGATTGGCTATTAGCATCACTCCCCTATAACCTAAGATGCGTGGAAAGTTGTTATTGCTACACTGTCATTGTCTCCGCCTGTTGCTGAGGCTACGCGCGAGGGTGGCAGACAACAGGTCTGCTTGGGGGAGAGAGTAGTGAGATAGGTGACAAGGTCTGAGTGTAGAGGCGAGGTAGAAGCGTTGTGGTGATGAAGGCTCCAGTGAACAGTGTACATATATACTGATCGTTGCCCTCTTCCTTGACGGAATCAGGGTCCGTGACTGCTTATGTAATACTATTTTCCAGATGCTCTCCCCGACTTCCATACAGTTCCCCCAATGGGCCTTGACAGAGAGGGCAGGTACAGCTTGCCCCACGTTCGCCCGTTCGTCCGTTGTATGTCGGGCTCTTGATGTTTCTCTTTGTCTAGTTTATCTTTCTTTTTGGTGAGGGGTAATAAATTGTCAATGAACCATCTAACTGTACCAGTCTATATCAACTTGATCCAAAACAAGTGGCGGCGGGGGGAGAAACATGAATCTTCTTCCCGAGCCGATCTGAAACTGCGATGTCCAATAGTCTCCACCGTTGTCAATCTTGAGTATTAAACAGTGAATAATTCGACCATATATTATTGCGACAGAAAAAAAATGCATCCCTCGATAACTCGTAGCGATGGAAGAGGAAAAGAAAAATATAAAGAGAACCGCGAATATGACGACACCGTATTGAAGTGTGATCTGTCATTGCATCTTAATGTCTATTCAATTAAAGAAACCCCAAAAAAAAAGGGGGGGGAAAAGTGGGTTAGGGTGTGGGGATGGCATGTTGGATGGTGGCCAAGACCGCAGGGCAGGTTGGATCCCCTGCCTAAGAAGGCTAGCGAGGACTCTGCCCCTACTAGCGCAAACGACCAACTGCCGTATGAGGTGACAAGATCGTGACAATTCCACCGCCCGGCTCAGGCGTATCGTGAGGCAGGGGGGAAGCTGGGGACCGTGGGGGAGAGAGCCGGGCAGGATTGGTACTCGAGGCGCGAGGCGCTGGGCCAGCTAATGAGTCATACTGGAGTGCCTGGCAGTCACGGAATGGCGTAGCAGAGAACTTCTAAGAGTGGGTTGATACTCCAGTGACAAGAAATTGTTGGTGGGTATCCTCGTCCATCAAGAAAGCCTGCATGCCATGATTGTTGTTTTCCGGAGCACCTGATGTGCGGACGGTGTGACCGGAGGCTTGAGAAGCGGAGCTGTTGGTGGCATTGGACGAACGGCCGGAGCTGGAAGAAGAACTTCCGGTTTCGGAGGAAGATTGGCTAGAGTTGGAGGAGGCATTGGATCTAGACCCATGGTTGGAGGCAGAATAGTTCGAGCTGCTGTAGAGAGAGAGAGAGAGGGAGAGAGAGAGAGAAGAGATATAGTCTCAGCACACGACAAGGTACCGGCACAACGGACACACGGGATGGGATTTGGGAGAGATGTTTTGCACTTACTTTGAAGTCCTTTCCATGGCTGCGCTGGTTGTATGTTGGAAGGATAGATGCCTGCTTCTACGTTGGGTTGGTGGCTGTGAAGCGTCTTAGCCTTTGGCTATGAGGTATCGGTCCGGGAGTTGGAAAGTTGCGCAATGTGAGACGGAGAAGGATTCCGGAATTATTGATGATAATAATGGGAAGAAGAGGGAGGAAGAAAGAGATCTCTCTTTTATATCTGAAGAATAACTGATGATATAACTTGTGTTTACTCTAATTAATTGTATTGTATTTCTGCCAAGGCAGAAATATATTCAGTGCTCCAGCCTCATCACTCTTGGGCGTCGAGTTGAGCCCAAACTTTCACTCGACGAAGAAAAAAAGAAGAAGAAGAAGAGTGATGAGGCGTTAGAGGGTGGCTTTAAAGGACGCCCTCTCCGTGTTGAGCTCATGACTGACTATTTACAAATATCGGCCAAGAGTAATGGGGCTTCGTCTTAACTTCAGCATCACCATCTCATATGAAAGCTGTGCGTCATCCCATCTTGGCATTCAGTTATATGTATAAACTATCCGTAGGGCGGTGTCCCCCCCCCCCCCCCCCAGCTTAATGATATATCATCTCCATCAATGTACGTGTGAACATAGCCAGGATTTTGAGAGGGAGATGTGAGAATGATGGGCGGTGGAGACCAGATGAAATAACAAGACAGTAATATTCAGAGTCACCAGGAAGGTTATCACAGTGGGAAAAAAAATTGGAAAAAATGGAAAAATGGAAAAATGAAAAAAAAAACAAAGACAAAAACAAGCCTGAGTCAGCGAGACCACTTCATTATTCCGTTGACAGCGGTTATATCGTAATAGAAAGTGGGGCTAAGGCGTCCGGCTTGTTAATGGTATCTACGCAGTAGGACGAAGATGGACAGGCCGCCCTGTTCAGAGGAGGTTGACACCACACACCACATGACCCTCATCATCAGCACGGACCAGTAGTGACGTCTGAATCGTACATGAACCTACACATGGTGGTGAGATCGTTGCTCTGTTCCAAATTTATTCCAACTTCTCTTGTTTCATCTCATTTCCATGCCCGTCTTACCACGTTTCTTACTGTTTGACCGGTGCTTATCATACTTTACTGGGAAGAAGTAGTGAGCCATTATCCAAGGACCCTCGTCGCGTATTTACAGTGACGTCGAACTCCTAAGCACTGCCCCTCGCCAACTAGAGATGGTACTTTTCTCTCCTTCTCTCTCTCTCTTCTCTCCCTTCTCTCTCTCCTTCACTCTCCTCTCTCTCTCTCCGGATATTGTATACGTGCACCACTGATCAGTGTACGTAAATACTCGTATAATATGCCATCGGAAGGAGTCTGCAATGGTAAATGCTTCGTGCAACACACCAACATTACTTGCATCTAGTCTTCCACACGGGGAGCGAGAAAAGGAGAGGAGAAAGGAAGAACAGGGAGAACGACATAGCTACTACACCAAGCTGAGACTTTCCATAAATCATAGAGTCCATCGAATCTAATTTAATTTTAAAGTTGGAATAAAATAAAAATAAAGAGAAAGAGAAAGAGAAAAAGAAAAGAGAAAAGAGAAGAGAAGAGAAAAGAGGATTGCTATCCGCGCGACCTGGAAGATTTTATTGAAGAGATCGACATTCCTCCGAGCTTTCCATCCCAACAGCCCTCACCGAAATGCGTAGTCATCAAGAGTACAGGCTCTTCCATCCACGTCGTAGCGGTCGCTATTCAGTGCACGAGGTTCTAGACTACTCTGATCGAGCATTCGCCGCACGTCAACGCGCCCCAAAAGGCAGCGGCGTGTGCCGGCAAGATGTACGGATCAATTCAATCACGTGCGCGCGCAATCACTTGATACGTAAATTCAATGCGGTGGCCTAGAGACTTGAGACATGGAATCTCAGAGGGTCGCGCGAATAGCAATTCTCGGAAACAAGGGAAGAAGAGAGGGAGGGAGAGGTGGGGGGGAGGGGGAGAGGGAGAGAGAGAGAGAGAGAGAGTGAGAGAGAGTGATGCGCTCTGCGCTGTCTCTTCTCATTCCGCTTTTCGGTCGGTTCTGCCTTGGCGGCTACTTCTCAGCTCTTGAGGCGCGATGTTATGATGTAATGACCAGCGTTGACTGTAGTAAGTAATAAGCGCTTCGACTGGGCCCCCTATTCGAGGAATGGTAAGCATTACGCCGGCGGCGGCAAAAAAAAAAAAGAACCCCCCAAAAAAAACCCACAAGACAAAGAGAAAGACGACGATTACTGTAAAGGGCTCTTCTACTCCATCAGTGTTAATTGATTGGCAAAGACATCACCTTCCCTATGGAGACGTGTGGGCCAACGATGGCGCTTGGCTATCGAAAAATGGAAACATCAGAGAGCGTTGTACTATTTACAGACGAATGAATCCACTCTTTACCGCTCTCCCCCCCCCTCCCCCCCCCCCCCCCCCCCCCCCCCTGCTTTTTATTTCATTCTATAGGCAATAGGACTAGTCCGTACTCTTTTTTGTTTTGTTTCTCCCGCCCCCTTCCCGCCCCCACAGCTAACCGCCAAGCATCCACAACTTGTTACCTATTACACCATCATGAGAGAGGGAACGTAGTTGAACCTCGTATCACAGCAGCAGCAGGGGGAGCACGGACGGTCGTATCTGCATCTTTCCTTGGATGGGATCCTCTGTTCACGGCTTCTGACTAAATGCAGTGGGCCGTTGGGGGAGAAGAGAAGAGCTCTTTGTTAGAAAGTCGATATAACCACCCTTACCCTTCCCCCCTCTCTGTTCCTCTCTTCTCCTCACTGTCTCTCTCTCGCTCTCTCTTTTTATAAGAGCAAATCCGTAAAATCCGAGGACTCTTTACGTCTCTCTTTTCCTCTCCCATCTCTCTCTCTCTCTTCTCTCTCTATTCCTTCTTCTGTTGAATAACGTCCTTCGCTGCAGACACGGTCGTTTTGAGAAGCACGCAGCCAGGAAACATACACTCGCTACTCCTTACGTTTCAATCATGAGGTCCACCGCGGTCATGGCCCTGGCCGGTCTGGCCTCGGCGTGGGGATACCCGGACTGCGAACCTGAGTAAGTGTCTGCATACTCTCGGTCTACATTCATCATGTGCACTTTTTTTTTCTTTTTTTTCCCTTCTCCCCCCTCATCACGTAATCGGCATGTTGAGCCTGACACCGAGCAAAACAACAGCAACTGCTTTCGTAACCTCTCGGATGACCGCTTCAAGGGACTAGCCCCCAGCTTCTGCCAAGGACTTCTCTCCGGCGCCACCACGGCTGCAGACGCCATCCCCACCGACTTCTCCAACTGCCATGGCAGCATCGCCGCCGTCTCCTCTGCCTGCTCGTGCATCGTCTATACGGCCACGCACACCGCTGACGCCCCGGGCACTTCTACCCCCGTCGGAACAGCCGCGGCCGGAGAGGAGGCAGACACCACTTTCACGTCACCCCGCACCACCACCACTGGCACGGCTCCCATCCCCGACACCCCCACAGCCACGACCCCCCTCATCACGTCCGCGGACGAGGCTGGCACCACCGCACCTCTCACAGCATCCACCCAGGAGCAGGAGACCAGCAAGCCCGACACCACCCCTGTCCTCACACCCCCGGTCAGCCCGACACCGACGTACGGCTGGACCACCTCGACGATCTACACCAGCAGCATCATCACAGTCACCTCCTGCGCCGCCGATGTGACCGACTGCCCCGCCGGCGGCAGGACGAGAATCGTCACCAGCACCATCCCGCTCACCACCACCGTCTGCCCCATCACTTCCACCGAGGAGGGCAGCAGCACGTACCTCTCCACCCCTGCCACCTCCATCCCTACTGCCACGTCTGCGACGAGCCCTGCCGTCCCGACTTCTCCTGCTGGCACCACGTCTACGGAAGAGGCTGGCTCTACGCCTGGCACTACGCTTGGCACTACGCCTGGCACTACGCCTGGCACTACGCCTGGCACCTCTCCCGTCACCACACCTGGGACGACCCCCGCCATTACCCTCACTCCTCCCACGACGCCGACGACGTCTACCGAGAAGGCATCCACAACCCCCGGTACCTCTCCCGTCACCACGCCCGTCACCCCCCCGACGAGCAGGTGGACCACCTCAACCATCTACACGAGCAGCATCATCACCATTACGTCCTGCGGTCCCGATGTTCCTGACTGCCCTAACGGCGGCACCACCGTCGTGACGAGCAC